ATTTTGCAGAAGTAGATTCGTTCAAATAATTTCGGGAACAGGTATGTTAAGGCCCTCCCTTCTTTCTTTTGGCATGGTCCATTAATTACTCTATTCATAGAAATAGTAGGTGTGTCTATATTCTTGATTCCCCATGAAAAATACTATTATCTTCTACTCGTGGGCCTCAGAATAATACGCAATTGGAAAAATTTATTCGGAAGGAATATTGAGATTATTACATATTTTCCCTGTATTTCATACATGTGCATTGACCCATGACCAGATGACGTTATATACGCTTATATATGTAAATATATGTATATGGGATATGGGAAAAGGTTACGGCATTATATACGCACCATCACCTGATCAGCTGGTATATGGTGATAATGTTGCCTACAGTGGCTAAAATATGATTCAAACGGCGTTATATACGTGTATATATATATATATATATATATATGGGATATGGGAAAGGTTATGGCATTATATACGCACCACCGTTTGATCAGCTGGTATACGATGATGATTTTGCCCACAGTGGACGATATGATATGATGGGATGCCCTCAGAGGCTGATGATGTTATGAAACATGTACATATGCACGATATGACATTCATACGCATATGCATGACGCTAAAGGTAATTTATGATTTACAAAGTTATTCAGACTTATAGGTTGAGTCTTGTACTCTATATTTCTTCCATGTCTCTTATGTACTTATTTATGTGCCTTACATACTCAGTACATTATTCGTACTGACGTCCCTTTTGCCTGGGGACGCTGCGTTTCATGCTCGCAGGTCCTGATAGACAGGTCGAGAGCCCTCCAAGTAGACTATCAGCTCAGCGGAAGATGTTGGTACACTCCATTTGCTTCGGAGTTGCTTGTTTGGTTAGTATGATTTAAACGTATATTGTTTGGTATGTCAGGAATCTATCCCGACCTTTATGGTATTTATGTACTTTTAGAGTCTTGTAGACATATGTCGTATACGTGAAAGATTGTACGGCCCTGTCGACCTATGTTTTAAGTTTATAAATGATTATGTTGTCCTATTAGGCCCGTATGTCACGTGTATATGATGATGTAATAAGAAAGATACGTTACGTTGGTACTCGATCGAGTAAGGTACCGGGTGCCCGTCGCGGCCCATCGGTTTGGGTCGTGACAGATATTGGAGATGCTACTTATGAATGTGACTATTGTGGGGCATATTTTTGGTATGAGGAAAGAATTGAGAAGAAATATAAGAATTAAAACCAGTATTCAGCTTGTGTTGTAGTCGCGAAAATATCAAGCTGCGAAATACAAAGGAGCCTTCTTCGATTTTAAAGGAATTATTGTTTGGATCAGGTTAATATATAAATTCATTTAATAATATGAAACAATACTAAAATTGTATGGATATCTCCTTTAATCAATTCTATTTTCATGATGGTGCAAAAAGTAAACATTTCAGAGAGAATATTCGAACATATAATTCTATGTTTTCATTTACATCAATGGGAGGAAAGATTGATGTCTCTGTCAACCAGACTAAGGGGCCGAGAACATTCAGATTATCTGGGCAAAATTATCATCAGATTGGAAGCTTATTGCCTCCGGACGGATCTACCCCAAAATTTGCACAATTATATATTTATGATACAGAAAATGAGGTGGACAATAGAATTCAAGTTATCCGGTTAGTATTCATCACTTTCTTAACAATATTATTTTAAGAATTAGTTTTATAAAAGATATACCTTATTAGTTGAATTCAATCTTTAATTTTCACAGTCGTGGTGAAAGTAATAATCAACTTCATGCTGAAATTGTGAATGATCTGAAGCAAATGCTTGATGAACACAATGTTCTGGCAAAGTTATTTAGAATGGTAAGAGATCGATTTCAAGTAGATCGAAACTCAAATGTTAGACTCAGATTAATAAGGAAAAGAGGCTCTGATGGAAGAAGATACAACTTGCCGACGGTTTCAGAGGTAGCTGCTTTGGTGGTTGGCGATTTTGAACAAACAAAGTCTGACAGAGATATCATAGTTGAAAGCCAATCTGGACAACTATAAAGGATAAATGAATTAAATGCTGCATACTTAGGTTTGCAATATCCATTACTATTTTCATATGGTGAAGACGGATACCGGGAAGATATTCCTTTAAATGAAAAGGATGAATCCACCGGTGGAAGGAAATGTGTTAGCACACGTGAATACTTATTATACAAAATTCAAGAAAGGAAGCATGAACTCCCAACAATTGTATCATGTAGACGGTTATTTCAGCAATTTTTGGTAGATGGATATGCAATGATGGAATTTTTTCGATTAAGGTTTATTAGGCTTCATCAAAAATAGTTGAGAGCCCACTTTTATAAAGGGTTAGAAGATGCAGTTTTGCATGGAGATATTGAACCTTCTTCTCAAGGACAAAGAGTTATACTCTCTTCCAGCTTCACGGGGGCGCACGTTACATGTTGCAAAACTATCAAGATGTCATGGCAATATGCAAATGGGCAGGGTACCCTGATCTCTTCATCACATTTACTTGCAACCCAAAATGGCCCGAGATTACTAGATTTGTGACGAGTAGGGGATTATCTCCAGAAGATCGTTCAGACATTTTAACAAGGGTTTTCAAAGTAAAATTGGATCGCATGATAAAGGACCTACGAGATAACAAAGTTTTTGGAGAAGTCAAAGCAGGTATAATATTTATGTTCTATAACAATTATTACATTATTATCTTAAGTTATTATAAGCTAATATAAAAAATAAAAAAAATCCATACTAATGTAATTAATTAATATTTATGCAGTGATTTATATCGTTGAATTCCAAAAGCGAGGCTTGCCTCATGCATATATTTTGCTTTTTCTGCATAATAAATACCCAAATATTGCAGATATTGATGGAATAAATTTCAGCAGAATTACCAGATAAAAAGGTTGATCCTTATTATTATAATGCTGTTACAAATTTTATGATGCATGGACCTTGTGGTTCTGCTAGAAAATCTTCTTCTTGCATGCAGAATGGCAGATGTACAAAGCACTTTCCAAAAAAGTTTGTGGCATCAACCACAATTGATGAAGAAGGGTATCATATTTATAGAAGAAGGGATAATTGTAGAACCGCAAAGAGAGTAGGTATTGAGTTAGATAACAGGTATGTACTGCCGCATAATAAATTTGTATTATTGAAGTATGGCGCACATATTAATATGGAATTATGCAATCAATCACGATCCATTAAGTACTTATTTAAGTATGTTAATAAAGAAAATGATCGTGTCACCGCAACTTTTTCTCAAAGTGTAAATAAGGAAGACTCATCGGGTGTTGATGAAATAAATATGTACTGTGATTGCCGATACATATCACCATGTGAAGCTGCTTGGAGAATTTTTAAATTCTCACTACACCACAGAGAACCATCTGTAGAAAGGCTATCATTTCATCTACCAAATAATCAAAATGTCATATTTTCGGATGATGATCCAATTGATGCAGTTGTCAATAGACAACCAGTAAAGAAATCTATGTTTTTAAGTTGGTTTGAAGCAAATAAGATATTTCCTGAAGCAAGAGAATTAACTTATGCAGAATTCCCTCTCAAGTTTGTATGGAAAAAGAATTTGAAAAGATGGGAAAAAAGACAAACATCTGCATTTTCTATTGGGAGAATCTTCTTTGTTCCACCTGGATCTGGCGAGCAATATTATCTTAGATTGTTGTTAGATGTCATTAAAGGTCCAAAAGTCCTATGAGGAACTCAGAAAAATCAACGGTTGTGATCATAAGACTTTTAGAGATGCATGTTATGCTTTGGTTTATTAGATGATGACAAAGAATATGTGGATGCTATAGTAGAAGCAAGTAATTGGGGAATACCATCATATCTTAGGCAATTATTTGCTATGATACTGTTATCAAATTCAATGTCACGTCCAGAAAGTGTTTGGCAAGCAACATGGCATTTACTATCAGAAGATATCCTTCATGCAGAAAGAACTATATTGGATAACCCAGGTAATTAAAATAATGCTTTCAATTTCGAGTTATTATATGATATTTCAGAATTATGGATGATTTTCTTACACGTATAGCAACTTCTCTCGCTATGCAATTCCAGTCCCTGGCCTACTTCTCACACTCTCTAATTTCTCTCAAGCCAAATGGAATGAACACACTCAGCATTCACCATTCTAAACAATTGAGCAGCTTGTGATTTTCCTTTAGAGTTCTTAATAGCCCATTCTAAGTGTTTTTCTTAGGTAGCAGCTTCAAATAATTGTGTGTTTAGCCATTGCATCACTTTCATCCACGATCTCTTTATCAAATCACAGTAATTAAATAAATGGTCTCTAGATTACATTGGGATTGATATAATGTGCAGGCATGCAGCATTGATCCACACTCAGTCCCATCTAGTTAGCCTGTCAGATGCAAGTAATTTCCCCTGTTACTGCAGTCATAAGGTGAACTTAGCCTTTGGCCTTGCAGCATTATTAAAAACCATGCACTTCCACACCACTCGAGGACAGTTGCCTAACATTTGCAAGTACATTTGTCTGATTATGCTTTTGCTTAAAGTAACTTGCATTTGCTCCAATGCTGCTCTAGCTTTCGTTACTTCCCTGATCATCCAACATGCCTGGTAAGGCATATCAAGTAACATTAGATATAAGAAAATGTATCTTCACTTCAAGGCTTGTAGTTTTTCTCAATAAAATGAACTAGATGGTTTGGACTATCTTATTGCTTCAATTTCACGGATAATTAAAATGGCCTTCATATTCATCTAAATTACCATTTTGCATTTTACCGATCCACTAATCTTATTATTCTTTTCATGTAACTACACTAACCCGTAAGATTTAATTGAAATTGTATTTAATTTTTTTTTTTGTTTTTTCAGAATTTGACCTAACAGATGGTGAGTTGAAAAAACGTTGTTTGCAAAAGTTGGAAAACTTCTTAAAAGGTTGTGGAAGAAGTTTTTAGGATTTTCCAACAATGCCAACACCTGTTTATAAAGAGGAAGAAGTTGACATCAGTAACAGATTAATTCGAGATGAATTGTGTTATAATAGACGCGCTTTGGCAGAGGAACATGAAGAGTTAGTAAAGAATTTGACAGCTGAGCAAAATTGTATTTATAAAAGAATAATAACAGCTGTGAATGAAGATAAAGGTGAATTTTTCTTTTTATATGGTTTTTGTCACGACCCAAAATCTAACCATGGTCGTGATGGCACCTATCACGTTACAAGGCAAGCCTACTTCCCAAAATATTACTACTAAACCGATTATAAAAAATTAATAAAATATTTCAACATTTAAATTTTTCATAAACTGAATCAACTCTAAATATAATATAGAAAAATACGAAAACGAGCCCCAAACATCGGGGTGTCACTAAGTCATGAGCGTCTAACACTATGAACTAAGATATATAAACTGTCTAACTATCCAAAGAAGAAATGACAAAGGGAGTAATAAGGTCCTGCGGACGCTAGCAGCTACCTTGCAGTCTCCAATTAACGTCGGCCTGAACTCAACGATCGTCGCGCTCTAACTCACCTGGATCGGCACATAAAATGCATGGTGTAGTATGAGTACAACCACCTCAATAGTAACAGAAATAGCTAAGGAACTGAGTAGTAGTGATGAGCTAAGTAAAGCAGTCCAATTATTTAATTTCATAATTTAAAAATGAACATAAATAAACAGGCAAATTCCATAACTCAGTAAATACCACAAAGAAATTTAACAGATAAATGCAGCAACAATAAAAGTAAATGCAACCTCAAAGCAATGTCACTCCATCACTCAACACTCACACTCAGCACTCAATACTCTGCGCTCATTAGGGGTGTGTACAGACTCCATAGGGGCTCCCAAAGCCCAAGCGCTAAGCACAGACAACTCACGTGCCATCATATAAATACCTGGATCTGCACGGTCAACTCACGTGCTACGCGGACAACTCACGCGCTATGGTATCAATACTTGGACCTGCATGGTCAACTCACGTGCTATGGTATTAATATCCTCACAACCAGGCACTCGACATCACTCAATCATGTACCTCACTAGCCTCACCATCATCAACAAATAAGGGAACACAACCCACATCAAGTATCACAACATATTAGCAAATAATAAAGACTGAGGTAAACATGCACAATAATTTCTATGACTGAGTAAAAATAATGTGAGCATGAATAAAGTTTAAGCATGATCTCTAACATGAATGCAGGCAAGTTCGAAAAAGTAACTACGTAAACATAGATGATGGCCATTAGGCCTCACGGGATGGACCAAGTCTCAATCCCTCGAGGTATACACCCACACGCCTGTCACCTAGCATGGGTATCACCTCCAAACAATCACATGATATCAAATTCGCTGTGTTTATACCCTTAATGCCAGAGTTAAAACTGTTACCTCAACCGCATAAAATCCTACTCTGGGATGTCCTCATCTCTGGACTCGGTCTCTAAAAGCTCCAAATCTAACCATAATCAGATTAATACCATCACCATGTACTAAAGAATTGATTTCCACAATAAAAACTACAAAATATGCCAAAAATCCGAAATCGGCCAAAATTCGGCTCCGAGCCCACATCTCGGAATCAGTCAAAAAATGGCAGAATAATAAACCTTATTCTCTCCTGAGTCTAACCATATAAAATTTATCAAAATCGGACTCCTTTTGGTCCCTCAAATCCTCACTTAAAACTTTCCAAAACTCAAACCCTAACTCCCTTAATTTCACTTTGAAATCATCAATCAAATCCCAAAAACGATGATGGATTCATGAAATATAACCAAAATCGAGTAGAGAATACTTACCCCAATCTATATGGTAAATATCGCCTCCAAAATCGCCCAAATCCGAGCACCCCAACTCAAAATATGATCGAATGAACAAACCCTTATTTTATATATTTTTTTGCCAGTTATTCTGCCTCGTTTCTCGTGCCAAACAATCTCGAAAGTCATTTTTTATGCCTCCAATATATTCTTTGTAAAATTCTAGTCAAGTTAGGCTTTTGAATCACTCAATTTGACCTTATAATAAATGAGATATGTAGGTTTTAATATTTGCAAATAGTGCAGATTTTTAAATACGCCGTCTGTGGCAATTTCGTAATTAATCTGAAAAAATCTAGCAACCTAATTTTTAGTAAAATGACCATAAAATGCTCATACGATATCCATATTCGACGATTCTTTTTGCTACGGGTCCGTAATTACGATATAATGCTTCAATCAAAAAAGAAATCGGAGTTCATTTGTTCAATATGATATCATTTATACTTGAAAAAACGATGTCGGAACATAAGAAAAACGAGCGCAACACGATCCAAACCTATCCAAAACTTACCATAGGCCCTCGGGACCTCAACCAATAATTCCAACAAGTCATATATCTCTACCCGAACTTAGTCGAACCTTCGGAACACCCAAAATAACACCAGAACACCAAATCAACTTCGAATTCAAACCTAAGAACTTTTAAACTTCCAGCTTTCGTCAATTCAAGCCTAATTCTACCACAGAACTCCAAATTATACTCCGGACACACTCCTAAGTCTAAAATCACCCAACTAAGCTAATTGAATCATGAAGATCCAAATCCGAATTTGTTTACTCATAGGTCAACTTCCGGTTAACTTTTCTAACTTAGCTTTCTAACTAAGAGACTAAGTGATCATTTCACTCCAAAACTACTCCGAACCTAAACCTACCAACTCGATACAACTCAACACGGCTGAACAACACATAAATAAGCATAGATGGGGGGAAATGGGGCTATAACTCTCAAAATGACAAGCCGGGTCGTTATAGTTTTGGAGGAACAGGCAAGACTTTTATTTGGAGGACTCTTTCTTCTTCCATAAGATCTAAAGGAGATATTGTGTTAACTGTTACATCTAGCGGGATTGCATCTCTTTTGTAACTAGGTGGTCGAACAGGTCATTCAAGATTTGTAATTCCACTCAATCTTACCAAAGATTCAACATGTAATATCAAGCAAGGTTCTCCGTTACCAAATTTGATTGTCAAGGCAAAGTTGATTATTTGGGATAAGGCACCCATGATGCATAGATATTGTTTTGAGGCTCTTGATAGAACTCTAAGAGATATTCTTAGTGTAGACATGTAATTTTTGACCCTTCCCGAAATTTTACACATTTGAATGTTTAGATGTTTATTTTAGGTTTAATATTGATATTTTAACTTTTATTCAACTTCTTTGCTTTATTTTATTTTATTTTTTAAAAAACCTACAAAAAAATATAATAATATTTTCTTTATTTTAGGTTATTAGTATTTTTTGTTTAGTTAGTATTTTAATTTGAAGCAATTGGAACTTTATTTCTATTTGGATTTAGTAGTATCAAATTTTAGTTTTGTTACTTATGATCTTTTAAAAGAAAAAAAAGAAAGAGAGAAAAGAATCCAAAAAAAAAAAGCGAAAAGGGAAAATCAAGAAAGGAGGAAATCACACACTTCGTCTTCATTTTAGTATAAAGTCACATACACATTCTTCACATTTATTTAGTATTTAAGAAATAAAAAAGAATTTGATTATTAATAAAAGAAGAGTCTTTGCATTCTTTAAATGTGGACCCCTCCACACTAGTGGACAAAAATAGGCTAACAACTCTCATGCACAATCCAATTTTAAAATCACACATGTAGACATGTGATTTTTGACCCTCCCCAAGATTTTCCATATCTTAGCATGTAAATATTTAATTTAGGTCTAATATAGCTATTCCAACTATTTTTGACTTCTTTACTTTATTTTCGTCATAAAAATAAAAATTACAAAAAATATTTTAGTTTACGTATCTTTCATAAATTTAAATAAAAAATATACAAAAAATAGTACCTTATCTTTATTTTTATATAATCTTGAAAACACAAAAATAGTTTTATGTTTTATAGTTTAGTTCAATTAATTATAATTAGTTTTATATTTTTATATTATAATTGTACATAATTTTAGAAGGATGAATTAGTTTTAGGTTGGTTTATCCCGTCTTTATAAATCTATAGTCCATTTTTTTAGTCTTTGGCCCAATTCTCTAGCCCATAATTCCTAGGCCCATACCTCTAACCTAATCTCTACTCCTATATATAGTATCTAACATCTAAAATAGACCTAGCCTACACAAAAAAGGAGAGTCGCAGAACCCAAAAAGAGACCCCCCAGCTTTTTCAGAGATCCCATCTATCTTCTTCAGATCCCCTCCTGCTGATGAAGTGACCGAAAATTGCTTAGTGGCATAGCGAAAAAGGCAAGGCGCTTAATTCCATCATCTTTCAGTAGTGCTCATTGAATCTACACTAATGGACTTGTTAACGTTGTTGCTTTCATCATTAAAATGGAAAAAGAAACGCACAAAAAACGACAGTCTTTGAATTCAAAAACAAAAAAAGAAAATAAAAAGGCACACATACACACAAGGACAAAAGGGAGGCATTTGATTCTTTGTTAAAGGAGTTCAGAGAAGTTGACGATATAGTGGCTCGCAATTCTGCCGATTTTGAGAGCTTTCCAAAAGTTGGGCGCGGTCGATTCGAGGTGCCAGTTCACAATCTCAGTGTTTCGGTCCAAGGATTGTTGCTTTGCTTAGCCTGATTGATTTGCAATTTTCAGATTTGTTCATCAATAAAAGGTCCACTTCTCAATTTCAATTCTCATTTCATTGTGTTATAATAGCTTGGTGTGCGTGTTGGTTGATTTGTGATTCTATGTTGTTTGAGTATCATGTTTTAGTTGTCATTTAAATTATTTTGATTAGTTTTTATTTCGATTGTAATGTATGTAGTCTTGGTTCTTGAATAAATGCTTTTAATCGGGCCAATGAAAAATCGGAGTTATTTCTTTCTTGGCAAGGAATAAGAATGGGTCATAAGGTGGGTTTTGGACCACAAGGAATTTGGCCAAGTAATAAATCATGTTGGCTAGATTATTTCCCCCAATAATATTTTGTTCAAAAATTTGGCCTTACAACAATCTCGAAGATTAAGAGTACACGGAGTTTGCATGTGTGGCCATTGGTTGAGCGTGTGTTCTGCTAATGTATTGTGTCCAAGCTGGACCATTTTTGCAATGAATAATTGAATTAAAAGAACATTGGATCAAGAGAGCAAGAAAGTGACAAAAATTGAAAGTGATAGTAGCGTGTTATATTGCTTCTGGCATTAGCTTGGTTGCTGCACCCCTTTATTTTCTTTATTTTGCAATGAAGGCGACTTAATAAATTATCGTGGTTGTGTACACGTTCGCGTGGCATAGTTACGATTCCAGAAATTAAAACCAAGGTATGCGTTCGCGCAACTTTGGGTGAAGCAATCTTATTAATAATAAGGCGTGATTAATTGTGGATACGTACGCGTGACACGATTTTTGACGCGCCAAATGAAATGAGTACACGTACGCGTGACTCGTTTTTTAAAGATAATTCCATAATTAATAGTAATTGAGAAAATAAAAGCGGTTAAGGGGGTAGATGCACATAGGTTTGAAAATAAGTAATTAGACAATTTAGTAAGCCAAGTATAATCAAAGCGACCGTGCTAGAACCACGGAACTCGGGAGTGCCTAACACCTTTTCCCGGGTTAACATAATTTCTTACCCGAATTTCTGTGTTCGCGGACCGATAATAGAGTCAAACTTCCTCGATTCGGGATTTTAAACCGGTGACTTGAGAGACCATAAATTATCCCAAGTGGCGACTCTAATCTTCAAAATAATTAATCCCGTTTCGGTTATTGTCACTTTAATTTGAAAAAACTCCCTTATATCTCTTCCGTGGTATAGGTAAAAAGGAGGTGTGACAACCACATGCTAGAGAAAAACAAAAAATATTCTTTTAAGTAGGGACCACACACATTCTTATCTGGATGGCTTTTTCTTGGCCAACACTGCTGCATATATACACATACACGCTGATATATAGAGAGGAAGGGGGAAGAGGGGGCTGGAGAGGAAAAACGAAAGAGAGGGGACAGATCTGGGGAACGAAAGGGCTGGGGATCGCACAAAAACACAGAGCTATCTTCTTCCTTTCCCAAGCACAAAAACACAAAGTTTCAACACCATGTAAATTCTCCATAGCCTATTACATCCATCTATGAAAGAAGCTCCATTGCTTCACCATTAAACCATCACAAATAAGCCCCAAAATCACCACAAAAACACCTCGTGTAAACCACTTGAAGCCATCTTAAATTCAAGTGAAACCTCGTTCTACAGTTCCGGCGGAAACAGAGGTGAGTGAACGACCAACTGCTGGTCATTTTCGAGTCGAGCTGACGAGCTTTCCGTTAGCAGATCCGAGGTGCCGATTCGAGGTATGTTGTTTTCTTCTTTATCGTTTTGCTTGGAAGATCATGCTTGGTTAAATTTTTGTAATCTGTTATGGGTGCTAAATATTTTGTCGTAGAAATCATTTTCACTTAGTTGGTCTCATGTTGGTTACTTCATTTTCTTGTTAATCATGAAAGTTGCAAACATTAGTTGACTGCCATTTTGTGGTGGTGAAGATTTACTTGTGGTGCCTTTTTTGACCGGCACCATTACAGCAAAATTCACGTATTGGCATATTCTTGTGGTTGGTGCCAAAATTCCTGAAATGTCCTGGTGAGACGTTGTTGAGAAACGTCGCCAATTAGTTGTTTTTTCCTTTTCATGGTAGATACATAGAAAAACTGTATGTCACCATCTGATCTCGACCTGAGCAGCAAAATTGATGGTGAATTTGATAGTTGTGCTTTATGAGAAAATTTTAAGATCTTTAAATTTGATTTGGTACATTAATTAGTGGTTGATTTCGTGTTTGATTCTAAATAAAATTGGCGAAATCTAGTTATTTTTGTCTATTCACGTTAGAATATGTTGAGGCGTGTCGTGCCAAATAAAATCTCAAAATGCGTGACCCTCATTTAATTATTTCTTTTAATCCTTAAAAATCGAGGTGTGCCATTTAGCGAATTTTCATGGCCCTCGCAAATTTAAAAACGCGTAGTTGCTTTAGGCGCGTAATTTAAATTAATTTCCTTAAACCCGGGTGTGCATTTCATGTGACCCAAATCCAAAATCTCCACAATGTTAAATAAAATGTGTCTCGGACTGCGGGTGCATTTCATGTGGTGTGGTCCAAAGACGTGTTTTAGATGACGTTGAAATCTTCCTTAAAAATAATCAAAAGCGGCTAGTAAGTTAAAAATGTACCAAAGGCTAAAACTTGTATTAAAATCAGATAACAGGTCAATTATAATAGTTTAAGCGACCGTGCTAGAACCATGGAATCCGGGGGTGCCTAACACCTTTCCTCGGGTTAACAGAATTCCTTATTCAGAATTTTTGGTTCGCAAACTTCAAAAGGAAAGTCGAAATTTCCTCGATTTGGGATTTAAAATAAACCGGTGACTTGGAACACCAATTAAAATATTCCAAGTGGCGACTCTGAATCTTTAATTGAAATAATCCCGTTTCGATTGTCCTTTAATTGAAAAAACTCCCTTATATACCTTCCCTTCCAGGGGTGTAGGTAAAAAGGAGGTGTGACAGCTCTGACGACTCTGCTGGGGACAAGAACCCAGAATCTCTGGTTCAGGGTTCAGAATTCGAGCTTAGAATAACTGTTATAGTTGGTTTGTTTTATCTGATTTTTACATGTTGAGCCTAATGTGCTAAATGCCGCTTTTACCACTTTGATATTGTTTGGACCGTATATAAATTGCTACGAAACCCTCCTTTCTCTGAGTCTTCTAAATCATCTGGGAAGTGTGCACTTCGTGTGACTTCTTTTCTGTTAGAGTCTTATCTCAATTTTAGAACGAGGTTCGGACAAGTTGCAAAGCCGGTGAAGCTTCTGTATTCCCGG